TCCCTCCCTCCCCCTCTTAAGTTTCTTTTGGAATGGCAGGACGTTGCTATAAACCAATGTCTGTGTGTCCCTGAAACCTACTATGGTCTAGTTGAGAATAATGCCTCCTTCATGCTGAACTCACAAGCATGGAGTCCCAGAGCCAAGAGTAACCCTGCCTGGGCCACCCCAAGAGCAGGTTCCACATCATTCTCCATGGCTCTCTCCCCTCTCCTTCCCCAGTCCTCTTCACACTATTCACATCAACTAGTGGCAGTAGAAGCCAGCATTGTGCACTCTTCAAGCCAGCATCCTCTCACAACCCAGCTTTGCTTCAATGCCTCCTCTCCTCCCTGACCCCAACTCAGGCAAGCCTGTCTTACTGGGATAGCTCTAAAACCTTCCTCTGCTACCCATCCACCCACCCCCACCCCTGCCCCACCCCTGCCGAGAACCACAAGATTCTTCCTCCTTACTCATGGCTTATCAAGCACCTACAAATACAAGGCATGGTGCCAGGATGTAATCCAAAGGGCTAGCACTAAACAAGACAGCCAGGGGCCCTGTGCTCTGAGGGAGATGATGGCTGTCAAAAAGTGACACTATTGAGTGCTGGCTTCAACAGCAGATATGCTGAAAGGGGAACTGTGTGGAGATTAGCGTCTCAGTGCACAAAATAATGTCACACAAATTAATAAAGGTTCCATACTCTTTGCTTTTGGTCCTACTGGGCTCATCTTCAGCCAACCTGGCCTCTTTGGGATAGCTCCTGAATCTTGATGGCCCCAGGGGTTGTCAGTGATCTAGACTCCCTTTTCCAGGAGGTGCTACTCACCAAGTAGATCCATGACATGTAGGTCAGCCCCTCTCAGGACCTAGCTAGCCTTTGCCATGCTGGCTGCCATCTTGGGAAAGTCTGAGACGCTCTCAGGGCAGGGGTAGCCGCTGCTTCCTCCCACCTAAAAGAAAATGGAGACAAGAAGGCATCGACAGCCACAGGGGCTTCAGAACAGCAGCATGGCCGTGCTGAGAACACACAACTTTTACTGCTCTAGAAAGGGATGTGGCCCTGCTGAGTACAGCTCTGACCCTGATGAGACACACCTCTGCCTCCCTGACACAAGGGGACAAGACTGGAAAGACATGCCTTGCATTTCGGATCTCAGCCAGGTAGCCTTTCTTGGCTCCATCTTCTCCCTCATCCAATTATCTCTCCACCCACCCCGATCTGTCACTGTCCCTCTCTGGCTGTGGGAGGGAGACCCTAAAGGTGGGGGCCACCCCTCAACAACCCCAAAAGGAGTTAACAACTTTTGGAGGGAGAATATGAAATAAAGACTAGATCCTTCATGGTCTGGGGGTGATGGAAGTGAGGGAGTTAACATTTTAAAACTCCAGCAGGCAAATTCTGAGACCATTGAGAAGCCATTAGTGTTGACTTCTTCTGTCGGCAATCACTGAGTGACTGCTGCGCACCAGGCATTTGGGCTTTGGTGAAAACAACACAAAAATCCCCATCCTTCTCCAATGTGAAAGTGTTGCAAAGTTACCAGAATGGGCCACCAAGTTGGCCAGCAATCCCAACACTCGGAGGGGGTTGAGGCAGCAGGATCAGGAGTTCAAGGTCAGCCTCAGCTAAATAATGGGTGAGATTCAGCATTGAGCTACATGAAAACCTGTCTCAAAACAACCAAAAAAAACATTACTAGTATCTATGTATATCACTGCTTCTGTACTCAAAGCTTAGGGGGAAGTCTTTCCCTCTTCCTTTCTCAAAAACAAAATCCTGCTGAGCCCTATGGAGTTCGTCTCTCTGTCTCACTCCATCTGGGGTTAGGATGGAGGACCGTTTGCCTTTCTACCTTGGGTTTAGACCCAAGCCACCGCCCTGGGGCAGCCTTTGAGCAGTAAGGAGTCTGCACAGATGCTGGGATGTATACAAGAGAATTCTTGCCTTAGCTTCCCTTTTCTGTCCTGGATCCTTCCTTCCTCCCTCACCTCCATCTTTCCCTGTCCCTTACTTTCAGAAGGCCTTCAGTCCAAACTCAACTGTCTCTCACCCACTATTCACCATGCATGGCAACTGCTTCTCAGAAAGCATCCTGGCTGCCCCTGTCAACTACTGGATCTCAGGTAAGCCTCCCTGCCTCCTCCTCATGCTGAGGCTGACTTGTTCAGGGCTGAGGACAGCAGGTGACTCTCGCACTCTCCCACCCCAGGTCTGGCCTTCCCAGATTGGGCCTACAAAGCTGAGTCTTTGCCAGGCTCCCGGCAGATCCAGCTGTGGCACTTCATCCTGGAACTGCTGCAGAAGGAAGAGTTTCACCATGTTATCGCCTGGCAGCAGGGAGAGTACGGGGAGTTTGTCATCAAGGACCCGGATGAAGTGGCTCGCCTCTGGGGCCGCAGGAAGTGCAAGCCACAGATGAACTATGACAAGCTGAGCCGGGCCCTCAGGTGAGAAGACAGTGGCCAGCAGCAGGAGAGGCAGAGCTCAAGGAAAAGGGCTGTGGCTCTTGGCACTCCAGGCTGCTTGCCACTATTGAAGGGCTTGGGAAATGCTCCCGCTGTGGGAAGATGGCTGGTGTTCTCCAGCAACTGCCAGATGAACGGAGGAGACTCCCAGTCTCTCCCTTCCTCACAGAGGCGACTCTCAATTCTCTAGGTATTACTACAACAAGAGGATCCTACACAAGACCAAAGGCAAGAGGTTTACCTACAAGTTCAACTTCAGCAAGCTTATTGTAGCCAACTGTCTTCCTCCGTGGAAAGTGTGGGCACCCTCCACCCCCCACCTGCTGTTGAGGCCCCCTGCCCTGTGTCAGCCAGCCTTGGTGCCTGTGGCTGAGCAGAGTGAGGTAGGCATGATGTCTCTGTCCTCGGAGTTTTGACAGGACCTGACCTTTGGTCCTGAAGGACCCTGGTCACTCTCTACCTTAGGGCCTTCCTAATCTCCAGTGTTTTATATTCTAGTCCCTGTGTGCTCCAGGATCTGGTCTTTGTGATCCACAGCCACCTGAGAAGAAGGATGATGTCTGTGTTAGGCATTATCTTTTCGTGGTGTGTCAGAAGGAAGGCTAAAGGGTGTAGGGAAGGGTCCGGGGAGATGGAAACAGTAGGCAACCACAGCAGTCATGGTTGCTTGAGAATCAGTATGGGACTATTTTGTCATCTTAACACCTGGGTGATAGCCCTGCTGTGCCATCTAAGAGTACACACTGAAGAGAGCCTGTCCCATCCCAGCATTCTTCTCCTCCCTCCTTAGTCCCTGCATAGCATGCTGTACACACGGGCCACAGAAACTCAGCCAGCTGGAGTAAGGACCCCACGGGGGCCACCAGAGGCCTCTGGGGACAAGGAGAGCAGCAGCATCTACTGTGAGTGTTGAACACCAAGTTGGTGGGGATCCCAACAGAGGAGGGAAGCCTCCCAGGGCCTGCCTGGCTGAGCATATGCCCAAGTAGGCATGAGACAAGAGATCTTCAGTCAGTCAGTCAGTGTTTAGAGATTCTAGCTGTTTACTAGGCATGGAGCTCAAGCAAGAAAGATAAGCTTAGTAAGTAGTAGAGGCCGCTGGAAAGCAGAGATGGGAGGACTGCTAGTTACTACTGGTGCTGGGAGGCACAAAGGAGCACTCTGGGGAGGACTGCCAATTACTACTGGTGCTAGGGGGGACACAAAGGGGTACTATGAGGGAGGACTGCCAGTTACTACAGATGCTGGGGGCACAAAGGAGCACCACGGGGAGGACTGCCAGCTACTACTGGTGCTGGGGGACACAAAGGAGCACTATAGGGGAAGACTGTCAGTAACTACAGATGCTGGAGGGCACAAAGGAGCACCATGGGGAGGACTGCCAGCTACTACTGGTGCTGGGGGGACACAAAGGAGCACTTTGGGGGAGGACTGCCAGTAACTACAGATGCTGGGGGGGACACAGAAGAATACTCTGGGGGAGGACTGCCAGTTACTACAAGTGCTTGGGGAGCACAAAGAAGCACTATGGGGGAGGACTGCCAGTTACTACAGGTGCTGGGGGTGGGGCACAGATGAGCACTCTGAGGTCTCTAGGAGAGGAAAAGAAGAGCAAAGATGCCCAGCAGAGGGAAAGTGGGAGCTGTGAGCATGTATGGTGAATCTGCAAGGCATATTGTCAGTGTGGGTGGGAAGGTAAAGGGGTGTGAGAGACAGTCTGCCAGGCCAACAGCTAACTGGGTCCAAAAGGCCTCAGAAACCATGCGAAGAACGGAGAGTCCAGAGAAAAGAGATGTTTAGGTTTTTGTTTTATTTGTTTCTGCGGTGCAGGTAACAGAACCCAGGCCTTTATATGTTCACTGAGCGCTCTACCAACTGAGCCACAGCCCCGTTTCCTATTTCATTTTATAAACTACACAAGTTCCAAACTGACAACAACTTGACTGAAGGTTTCTAGGCCTTATGATACAATACAGAGGCCATGTGCCTTCCGTGACAGATAGCATATCTAGAAGTTTGAAGCTCGACCTTTCCACTGGCTATGAATAGGAGGTGCAGGGAGCCGCCTCTGCAGTCACCCACATAGCATGACAGTAAACAGCCAGCACTCCACAGCACACTGCTGAACTGACTCATTCTCTAGGTTATACACACCCAACACACTCTTGATGTAGGTTATTTTTAACCCGCAATGGGTTTATCAGCATATAACCCTATCATAAGCCAGCAAGCATCTGTATTCAGGCTGTGTGTGACTAGGATTACAGGAGAAACCATTCTATTGTTGGCAGGCTTTTATTATTTCAAATTATGTGTAGGGGTCTGTGTCTGCATACAGGTATGTGCACTCGAGTGCAGGCGCCCTCTAAAGGCCAGAGGCCTTGAACATCTTGGAGCTAAAAGTATAGACAGTTGTGAGACAGGGGTGCTAGAAACAGAACTCAGTTCTTCTGGAAGAACAGAAAGGCTCTTAACCACTTGAGTCATCTCTCTAGCCCCCATTGGGAGGGTTGTTGTTGTTGGTTTGGTTGGGGTTGCTGTTTGTTTGTTTTTTAGACAATCTAAGAAGACTCTAGGGCCATGGGGTGAAGGAAGGGCCTCAGCTGAAGAGAGGTGAGCAGACGAAGCTCATGTTCTTCTGTGTTCTTTGTCAGATGTTTAATTACCTCCTGTTTAATGTGCCTTCTTGTGTTTACTGAGCCTTGACCCCAAAGCAAACCCCACAATTTAAAAATATATATATTATTTATTTAATGTATGAGTATACTGTAGCTGACTTCAGACACACCAGAAGAGGGCATCAGATGATTGTGAGCCAACATGTGGTTGCTGGGAATTGAACTCAGGACCTCTGGAAGAGCAGCCAGTGCTGCTGAAGCTGAGATGTGAGCAATGCTGCCTTTCTGAGGCTTTTAGTCAAGAGGCTAAAGGCAGTTACCAATAGATACACGATGTTACTGCTGCTGGGCACAAAGGGACACTGAGGGTGCTTAGGGACAGCAAGAAAGACTTCCTTAGCAGAGTGACTCTAAGCCAACTTCCAAAGTGCACACAGGCTCAGCTGAGCTTGCAGGAAGAACACAGACCTGGAACAAAAGCCTGGAACAGAAAGAGGGACTGGGGAGCAAGCTATTGGTGGTATTTCATGATGGGGTAAGAAGAGAAGGCAGCCATGGTAGACACCCGTGGTTCTCAGAGCAACTAAGTCAGGCTTTCTGTGGAAAGATCCAACCCAGGTATCTTCTGCAGAGCTCCCTGCCCCTCCACTTTAAGCAGTTTTGAAGATTAGGACCACCCAGGTTTACCCACCCACAGTGCAGGGCATGGTGTAGACCAAGGATGCAGGGTGGTTGGGCCATCAGTCTGGCATCCTAGAGCTACCTAGCCCATGAAGGGCTTCTCTGTTCCTCCATGCCACGTTCTCCCAGCACTGAGGGAGAGAGACCTTTGGAGAGGGCTGCTTTCCTTTCCTTCACGCACGCACGCACACTTGCACACACTCCCCGTCCTTGGGCACTGGAAGATGTGAAGGTTTTAGGTCAGCAGAGGGCTGGTAGTAGTCGCTTGCCATGCTTCTGGACTGGAATTCCACTTCATGCCTTCCCTCCACCCCCACTCAGATCATGCGGTACCAGGAGAGGGAGCTGCTATTGGACACTCAACCAGCTTCAGGAAATGGAGAGACTCCAAATATCTCCTCCGCATGCCCACTCAGTTACAGTGTGGACACAACTCTGACCCCAGGAGCTCCTGGAGACACAGCCTTTCTGTGGGACAATAGCCCTCACCTCATCCAAGAGTCTAAGGAGAACAATACTGACCCACAGAGAGAGAACACCTTGACAGAAGGAGTTTCCTTATGGAGAACATTCTGACTAATTTAACCCCTCATCAATCTGGCTTAAGAAATACTCCTAGCTAACCAACTGTCTATATTAAGTAATACCTGATCTGTTTTCACAGGTTTTATTCACTATATCACACCCATGTGACCCCACTAGTCTCTTAGCAAACTGATATGATCTTGCCAAAATTGAGCATTTCAGGGAGGCTCCCTGAAACAGAAAAACGCGATGTTGAGTTCTGTCTAGCCATTTCCAGGAACCCCCAGCCTGGGCAACCCCTGTGGAGCCTTGCAGGAGGGAGGGGAGGAAGGTAGGTCTGGATGGAGTGGAAGGAGGAGAGGGGACTGTGGGATCAGCGTCAGACAGAAGAAGAGGCTCACAATGACAGCCCTGGGCTGCACAGCCATGAACTCCATGGACCCCTTATTACATAAACTCTTAGCAGATGCCACTTGATCTTAACCAGGAGAGAGAGGACCTTGTTGATGAGGAGGCAGTGACCTTCATATTTAGATGACAAGCACCTGGTCCCACAACCAATTCTTTACCCAGCTAAAATTTGGAGCCTTTGAGCAGGGTTAGGGAGAGTAAAGGATAGATTCCCTGGGTCAGAACACAGAATATCCATTCAATCTCTCAACACATTTTTACTGTGGACTTAATCTGTTAAGTCTGGACTATATTCAGAGGAGAATACATCCCTAACTGTAAGATTTCTAACAGAGCCATGTCTCCTAGGAAAGGTGAGGCGGGAGAGGACAGCAGGAGCAGGCACTCCCACAGGGCTGAGAGAGTCGCAGGAAGAGGGAGAGAGACGACCCCCTCTCGACCCCCTCTCACCCTCCATCCCTCACCACAGCCCCGCTGGGAGAATACTTACCTAACAGGCAGGCAACCCTAGGTTTGTAATCTCAGCACTCCAGAGGTGGGGTCAGGACAATCAGGAATTAAAGGTCATCTTCAGCTGCAGGACAAATCCAAACCAGCCTAGCTCCTTGAGGTTCTGTCAGAGGAAAAGGGAATGGAAGGGATGGATGAGGGAGGAGGGGAAGGAAGAGAGGGAAGGGAAGAAGAGAGAGCAGTGCAGGGGGAGGTATCTTCGTTAGGGTTTTACTTCTGTGAACTGACACTATGACCAAGGCAACTCTTATAAAACACAACATTTAATTGGGGCTGGCTTACAGGTTCAGAAGTTCAGTCCAGTATCATCCAGGCGGGAACACAGCAGCATTTAGGCAGGCATGGTGCAGAAGGAGCTGAGAGTTCTACATCTTCATGTGAAGGCAGCTAGGAGAAGACTGACTTCCAGGAAGCTAGGATGAGGTTCTTAAAACCTACACCCACAGTGGCACACCTACTCCAACAGGGCCACACCTCTAAATAGTGCCACTCCCTGGGCCAAGCCATCACCACAGGAGGAGAGAGAAAGGGCAGCAGAGCATCTTGGGAGGGGTGCCTCTTGACCATCTCTCTCTGTCTCCAGGTTTTGGCTCTGTCCTGGGCCCAGGCTGGCAGAGCCCTTGCTGCTGTTTCCGGAACCTCCCAGGTGATCTGCCCAGCTTTGCTTCCTTTGCTTCTGTGCCCTGCCTCTGCTGTAACTGGACCCACCTCTCAGGGCCCATCCTGACTCCTCTTTCCTCAGAGCAGCCACTTTTGGGGTCCTCAAAGCCTGGTCCTCAGGTCCCAGGCCCCATGTGTACACCAGGTGCCTGGCATTTTCCAGGGGTCTACCTTCTGGCCAGGCTGAGACAGGGCACTAGCGAGGGACTTCGGTGCCAGTTTCTCAGGCCCGAGGAATTGGTAAATCCTGGCCCAGGGACAAGCAGGCACCTGGATTCCAATGAAGGACTCTCCTCAGGGACTCAGGGTCTCAAACTTGGGAAAGGAATCCCCATGTCCCCCAATCCAGAAAACATGAGACCCATGTGGCCTTCGGATCCCCCTTAATTGGAGAGAAAGAAGTGAAGGGGTGGCTCTTCCCCTCTTCTCCTGTTCCCCAACTGGAGGACCCCAAAGGATGAAGCTGAACCAAGGTGGGGCAAAGGTGGGTATGAGAAAACTGAGGTGGTGCCCCTCCCCTACTACCAAATTGCTATCGACTAAGGAGACATTGTTAATTAACTTTTTTTGAGCGAGAGAGAGAAATGAGATTAAGGGTTTCGATCCTAAAATTGTCCCATGCCTACCCACAGGAGGGAATGAAGGGCTAGGCTGGGGCAGACGAGCATTTGTTTGGCTTCAGTCTTACAGTCTCCTTCTTCCTCTGGGTTTACTTCCCCATCCTGAACCTCTCCCACCCCTTCACATATTTCTCTGCCCTCCCTCTGACTGCTCAGCCACTAGTAACCTCAGTCCCAGGATGGTTCTTGCTTCTCTGAAGGAAGCTTCTATCTCCAGATCCAGGCAGGTGCAGAGAGAGAGAGTGGGGCTGGTTGTCTCAGCTCTGTAACACTCCCCTACTAACTGTGAATAAAAATGCCCTTGGCCCTACAGCCTCTCTCCAGTGTACCCTAGTCTTGGTTGAGTTCCTTCTCTGTTCTGATCAGTGGTGGTGCTAAATGCAACCCAGGAGTCCTGCTGGGAAATTCAGAGGAGGGCCTGAGGCTTAGGATGGGACTGGAATCACCCAGCCAAGCTTCTTACTTCTACCATCACGAGAGAGATAGATAGATAGATAGATAGATAGATAGATAGATAGATAGATAGATAGATAGATAGATAGAGACAGACAGAGACAGACAGAGACAGACAGAGACAGACAGAGAGACAGAGACAAACAGACAGACAGATAGAGAGAGACAAAGAGAGACAGAGACAGACAGGGAGACAGAGACAGAGAGACAGAGACAGAGAGAGACAGACAGAGAGAGACAGAGGGGGGTGAACCAAGCCAAGCAATGTGGGAAGCCAATCCCAAAGACAGAACAGCAGAGTTGGAGGGCTTTGCCAAAGACCTTCAGGCTCCTGTAGAGGGCCTCTGGGCAAAGATCTAATGGTCCCAGTGGGAAAGGAAGCCAGTGCTGAATGTCCTCAGCCTCTGTGGTCCTGGGGAAGACCAGCAGGGCCGACTTGAAGCACCAGGCACCAGAGCATAGGGAACACACAAGAAAGAGCGTCTCCGCTTAACATCAGATGAACCAACCGGGAAGAGACGCTGCACAAGCCAAAGCCACCCAGCCGTGCGCTCTCCTGCCTTTAGGCTACCAATGACATGGCCTGGATCTGTCTCTGATCCTTTTTGAGGAACAGCTCATGAGCTGGAAAGGCCCAGAAGGTTCCACTGCCCATTCCAAGTTCCTCTCGGAGCCGCTCTCACACTTACTTCCTGCAGCCACACTTGGTCTTGTGACCGTACACTGTCAGTCAAATAAAATGGGCGAGAAGAACCACAGAGGACATGACATAACCCCTGTCCACAGAAAGGCCAAGGTCATCCCAAGCTGGACCTAGGTCAGGAGAAAGGGTCTCTGTCTCCCTCCCTCAACCCAAATGCAAAAACAAAACAGCAACAACACCCTACCTCCTACTCCTCCCAAGCTGATGCCTCATCCCCCACATGGTTGGTCAGAACCAGCACAGAGCTTTCCTATTCCCCTGCCCAGTTTAGGAGACAAAGCAGTGTTGCCTGTGTAGCACCAGGAAGTGGATGGTGCACTCACTGGGCTTGTGTCCTGTTCAGTGACCAGCCCTAAGGACAGGGGTTTCTCCATAAAAGAAAGGGTCTGTTCTCTACCTGGCCCCACCTCCTCCCCAGTGATGTGTAGTGACTGTGGTCCCCGTATTTCGTGTGATGAAAAATGTTTTGTGGTCTACATTCTATGACTCCCCTGAAGGCTAAAGCCCGCTGTAAGGACTTGCTTCCAGGTGGTACCTTTTGCTGTAGGCCACAGATCTCAGTACAGAGGTCCTGCCACCATAGGCAATTTTTTTTCATTAAGTAATTCATTGTTATTGAGAGCTGTCCTGAGTCCTAAAATACTTATCAGAACATGCGCTCCATACCCAGAAGATAGTACCACCCGCACCTGCATCCATCCAACCACAACATCCCAAAATGCTCCAGACAGTGCTGAATGTCCCTTGGGGAAAGGGGAGAAACTGCCCTGGGTTGAGGGTCGACAGCCACTAAATTCGGGAAAACCAGGTGTTCTGTCAAAGATGGAAGTAGCTTCCAGGAGAGCTGTTGGTCTTCACGTTGCAAGAGTGCCCTCTAGTGGCTAGAGTTGGTACTCTGAACTTAAAACTCAGGACTAGAGTACAAAGTCAAAGGCCAGCTCTGTGTTGGTATGGGAGTGATGGCAACTCGGAGCCTCTGAGATGAGGAAGTGAATGGCAAAATGTGGATGCAGATGCAGAGCTCTTCCTTGTCAAGCCCCCTTAAATATGGTTGTCAATCCATCAAATGGCCAATTTGCCTAATGCAACAATGCAGGCAGTGGAGGTTGTCAGCCACCAACCCCAGATGCCACACATGTTGACACCCTGTGACCTTCAACCTCATGTAGGGAAGACATAGTGAGCACTCAGTATTTCTGAGTATGGCCAGTAACAACTCTGCTTCTGGGCTTCCCTTTGTGGCACTAGAAACTCTGAGAGATTCAGCAGCTCTTGAGAAATTAGAGTCAAGCTCTTGGGCTGTGAGAAGAGACCTCTGAGATCCCAGAGAAAAGGGGTTGTTTCAAATCACAGGGACAAAGAGCAAGATTTGGAATATAAATTTATTAGTCATTAGTAACCATAATCACTTGGCTGGAGAGTTTGAAATCCATTAGTTTGAGAGTTTGCTATGTGTGCAGAGGGATGTTTTAGAAGTGACTCTTGTGTAGGTTTTTTTCCATGTGGCCCTATGAGTAGGCACTTTTCTTCCCAGGAACACTTTGGCAGTTTGGTGCTTGCCTCTGATGGTCTCATAGGCATCAATATAGTGCTGCATAAATCTGGTGTTCTTGGGACAGTGCTAAAAAGGCGTGTGAAGTGGAGGGAGTCTGTGCACTAGAATACTCAGCTAAGTACATGGAAGAAGTTTGGAAGCTGTCTTAGTTAGGGTTTCTATTGCTGTGCAGAGAAACCATGAGTTTAGCAACTCTTATAAAGGAAAACATTTAAGTGGGGCTGGCTTTCAGACTGTCCATTACAGTCATGGCAGGAAGCATGACAGAGTGCAGGCAGTCATGGTGCTGAAGAAGGAGCCGAGAGTTCTACATCTTGATTGTAGGCAGCAGGAGACTGCCACACTAGGCCTAACTTTAGAATATAAGACCTCAAAGCCAGCCTCCATAGTGACACACTTCCTCCTCTAACAAGGCCACACCTCCTAATACTGCCACTTCTTATGGGCCAAGCATTCAAACATATGAGTCTATAGGGGGCATTCCTATTCAAACCACCACAGATGCTTAGAAACAATAGCAGGTGTTCACTCCCCTGAATTGATGGCAGTGTGGATGGTCCCTACCTCTTCCTTTCATTCCCTAAGGAAACTTCATGTGTCACTTTATGTTGGATGCACTCTATGCTGTTAGGTGGTTCTGTCCCTGTAAAAATGTCATTGAATGTACTTGCAGGAAAGCAGATGGCAGAGATCAAGCATGGTGAATGACAGCACGATGCTATCAAGCAAATACACAGTGCACAAGGCTGCTGACAGCGGCATGCACTGCCCTGGTACGTTGTTGTAAGTAGGGGTATGAGCTAAAATGATAAGAAGAATATCTACCAGAGACTAACAAAGCGGTTATAATCACGTTCAAAACTTAGGCATTACATACCATTGAGCTGCTATACTTTTACATGACCAGCCTTGGAGCAATTAGTGCACATAGTACGTTTCTTTACACTGATTCACCACAAGCATGTGAGTCATTGATCTCACTGGGTCATGTGAATCTTTCAGGCACACATACTCTTGTATGACTATATATGAATGTATATATGTATGTATGAACAGCTGTATATATGCACACACATATATATACACCATAAATACAATCCAATAGATACTTATTAAATGCTTATTGTGAATTTGTTTCTTTGGTTGGTTCCTTGCTTGGTTTTAAATTTTCTTTACTTATTGAGACAGGGTCTCACTATGTAGCCCTGGTTGACCAGGAGCTTGCTGTGTAAACTAGGCTAGCCTCAAACTTGTAGCAATCTACCTGTTTCTGCCACACAAGGGCTGGGATTACAAGTTTGTGTCACCATTCCCATGATTTATACTGTGCTTACATATATGTACCACTGTCATGAGGATAGGGACACGATAAAATTACTGGGTGAAAAACCATGACACCGTAATGACTTCAGACACATGTCACTCAACTGACTTCCAGAAAGGGATATGTTTTCTAAAACTGTATTTACACACCACTCACTATAAGCCAGTCTGTGGTGGTTTGAATGAAAATACCCACCTCCTCATAGGCTCGTCTATGTGCATGCTTAGTTCCCAGTTGATGAATTGCTTGGGAAGGGGAAAGTTAGGAGGTGTGGCCTTGTTGGAATAGGTGCACTTGTTAGAGGAGGTATGTCATTGTAGTAGACTTTGAGGATT